ACCAGGTTGTGTCCACTTCGCTCCACCCCACTTGTTGCAAGGAGCACCCTTGCCCGTGGCACTGCAGGGTCCCAGCCGTGAGTCTGGGCTCTGTCTGCTTGGTTTGTTCTGTTCCAGTACCGGGTGCCTAGGGCAGTGTGGCCCATGGGAAGTCGGGGTTGGGGAAGTTCAAGTTGTCCAGTTTCTGTCTCCATCAGCATGGCCTCAGATCCTTAAATCATCTCATTTCCACATAATTTTCAGAGTCTGTTTGTCAGTTTCCACTTTTTTTAAGCTTTATTTATTTGAAAGGCAGAGTCAGAGACCTTCCATCTGCTGGTTCGCTCCCAGATGGCTGCAACAGCCAGGGCTGGGCTGCTCCAAAGCCAGGAGCTTCATCTGGTCTCCCACATGGGTGACAGGGGCCTACACACTTGGGCCGTCCTCTACTGCTTTCCCAGATGCATTAGAAGGGAGCAGCCAGAACACCAAGCAGCACCCATGTGAATGCCAGTGTTGCAGGTGATGGGTTAACCTGCCATGAGACAATGCGAGTCCCAGTTTGTCATTTTCAAGAAAGGCGCCCACTGGAACTGGGTCTGGTTAGGAGAACTGGCGTGTTTCCAGCAGTGGTTTCTCAATCCATGAACATGGTATGTGCCTCCATTTATTCAGGTGTCACAGCCTCTCCCTGGGCACCTCGTGATTGTGGGGCATGCAGCCTGCAGCACCCCCATAGCTTTCTTCCTCAGGGCTGGGTGTTTGCAGTTACAACGATAGTATCGTTTTAATAACTCCATTGCTAATTGCTAGTTATTCTAGAAATGCTGCCACGTCTTGAGCATGCGTAAATCAGTCTTCCGAGATTCACTTATTAAATCTAAGACTTTGTACATTCTTCGGGGCTTTCTCATAATGCCAGTTTTAAAATCCCTTTTCTCCCGAAGTCGTCTGGTAGGTTGCAGGCGACAGAAGCCTCCTCAAAGGAGTTCAAGTAAGAGAGAAGTTAGGAGAGGCCCCGGAGGGAGGCCAGGAAGTGCAGGGGCCAGGAATTCAGCTGGGTGCCGCGGAATGTGGCCCTCGGACGCATGGCCCTGGTCTGCACTCCATCCTGTGGTGTCTGGGAGCCGACCAGCTTCCGCCCCTGGCCTCTGCCCTCCTGCCAGCACGTGAGCCCCGCTCAGGCTGCACACAGCCCTGCAGCACTTGCGTCCTGGGCCACTGCGATGGGTGCTGCTGTGGATGCTGCCTGGCCTGCCCCCTGTGCCACGAGGGCAGGGGAGAGACGGTGACACGCGCCGGGAGCCGTGTTCTCTAGGGCACGGCCCTGCCTGTTTTGCAGAAGTCTTGGGAAGCGTGAGTGGAGGGGTGAACTTTGACCTCTCAGACACAGCAGCTGTGGATTTGCCGTGCTCCTGAGTGCGCTCTCCTCCTCACTCTGTGTCCCTGGAGGTCAAAAACCGGAATCAGGTCGCAGCGCAGCACCTGCTGGCTTCACTCGGGTTTGTGTTGTTGGTGGTTTCCGTTCCGTTAGGCTCCTTCAAAAGCCTGCTCCTCATAGCGCGGCGATGCGCGCTGTTCCGCTGCGTGACGCTGCCGTCCTTGAACAACCCCTGCCTCAGCCATTCAGTTCCCTTGCCACATCTGCGAGAGTACTGAGGCAGCAAGCACCCTGTACTCAGTCCCACGTCCTCTCTGGTTATCTCCTTGAGTGGATTCCCAGCAGTGGGTCCAAAGTGCGTGAGCAGATTTTGAGTCTCTTGGCAGGAAATCAGATTGATTTCCAGGAGGGCTGGTTGAATTCACTCCACTGCTCATTCTAAGAGTGGCCAGTCCTCCATCAACCACATTAAATAATAGCTTTTAAGGAAAATATCATCTAATTTAATAGGCAAAAAATTTCATCTTTCTTTTAATTTGCATGCATTTTTAAGTGAGATTGGACATCAGCTCCTGAGCTCCCTGCTCACCTCTTGGGTTCTCCTGTGAATTCACTGATTTTCCTGAATTCTCTGTGGTGTCCATCAAGTCTTAGAGGTTTGCCAAAGCTCGTTGTATATGGAGCATGCAAACCCCTTGTTGTAACTGTTGCAAGGACTTTTCTCTAGCAGTGGCTCCACCCCCACGCCAGCCCTGTGTCTGGTCCCGTGAAGATGGCCTGAGGCAGTGAGACACGTGGCTCCTTCTAGGTGGAAATGCAAGTTCAGGTTTCGTCTGAGCCATGGAGCCAGGCCCCCCGCCGGCTGCGGGAGCTGCACAAAGGCCCGGTGCTGGGCTGGCGGGCCGGGGGAGCTTGTGAGAGACACTCCTGTACCTCCCGGCCTCCCCTTCCTCTTCACCAACACCTGACTGCTGTCACTCTTCCTGGCTGTCCCCTTAAAGTCGCCAGTCCTCCTGTGTCCCCCTCTCGTGTCCTGTCCCTGCCCCATCCTGCCAGCGGGAGCAGAGGCGCGCATGCACTGGGCCCTTGCTGGGCAACCGGGAAGCCCCTCCCTCTCACACCTCGGTGGCTGCACCCCTGCAAGCTGGACTGGCTCAGTGCCCCCGCCCCATTGTGTGCACTGCACGCTGACCCGAGGGGGAGGTGGGAAACACAGACTCGTCAGAGCCCCTCGTGCTGGTGCAGGTGCCTGGGAAACGAGCCCCCCTGGTTTTGGGCGCCTGGTGTGTGCCATTGGCTGGGCCCTCCTGAGCCTGGTTTCTACCTCAGCCTGTGCAGGCGGCCTCGGCTGAGTCGCGTCCTCCCAGCCGGGCGCCGGGAGCTGCTGTCTTCCAGGAAAGCATGACTGCTCCCCTGGCCTGCATCCCCATGGCCTCTCTCTCTCTCATTTTCAATTCCTGGAGACATCTGAAGCCTCCGTCGGTGGAAGGGGGCAGGGTTCAGAGACGGGAGGCTGTGTTTGGCCTTGAAGGATTCACCGCCTGTGTGCGGAGAGCCAGCCCCTCCCAAACTGTGGAGGACCCACTGAGGCAGTGTGAATGAAGTGTCCTGTCCCCTCACCCCCATCCGGGCTGTGGAGGTGGGCACCTGCTGTTTGACAACATCTAGAACGTTCTACCCACTGTAGAGTCTCCATTTAAAAAATGGTCTCCGAGGAGTCTTGAGTGAGAGATGACAGTCGCCGCCCCCCGAAGCTGTGGCTGCTTCCTCTTGTCCCAGGCCCAGTCTTTTCCAGAAGGGATGAAGCGTGCGCTGAGACCCACACTGAGGTGCAGGCTCTGAGCAGAACGTCTGCTCCCCGGTCTCAGCCACTGGACCTTGGCCACTGCCCCCAGTCCACGGGCGAGGAGGGCAAGCACATGTCTGTCGCCCATCCTAGGAACGCAAGAGAGCCTCTGGGCTGTGGAGCTGACCGCCTTGGATGGCTCTGGGAAGATTCGGGGGCCCCAGGGGAGGCTGTCCTGCCGCTGCCGGGGGCAGGGCGGGCTCTGCAGAGGCCAGCGTTTCCGCCTAACCTCGTGGCCCAGGAGGAGTCGGCCAGGCTCGCCGTGCACCCAGATCACGTGCCAGGTGTGTGGGGGCCATGCCCCACCCCAGCTCTGCCTCCTGTGCGGCAGGCAGGCTCGCGTGGCACAGGGCACAGCCTGGTGGGTGGAGACTGACCACAGCTTCCTGGGACGTCCCAGAGGAGTGCCCCTGCTGGCGTCACGGGACCTGAGCCTGGGCCCAAGGGACCTGTGCCCATCGTGGGCTCGGGTTGCTGGGGCCGGTGGGGCGGGCAGAGTCGGAGCTGTCAGGACCCCGGCTTGTCCCCAGGCCACGGGGGAGGGGAAGCCGTGTCCACACTCGCTCCCAGCCTGGGAACAGCAACTTGCTCCCTGAGAAACCTGCGGCTCTGCACCGGGACATGACAAATGACCAAGAAATCAATTTGTAATCTGATTGGAGGTTTTTGATTTCCTCTGATGAGTTTAAATTTCATTAAAAGCAACCTTATTCCCACATAAAAGGAATCCTTGAAGGGTAAAACAGGGGATTGTCTCACCAAGTACAAAGCACCCCAAGTCTTTTGTGTGATTTATTCACAGCATTAATTGTGAGGGCCGACCCGCGGTGTCCGTTGGCAGCTGCGCCGTTATCAGGGCCCGGGATCGGCCCAGCGAGCGGGGAGCACAAGGACTCGCATTGAGCAGGGGCTCCGCGGCGTATCGACACCTCGGTTATCAACGGCGCTGCCTATCTGCGGGCCGAGACCCGCTCCTGGGGCCGGAGCGCGCCACAAATCACGCCGCAGCCTCTCTGCAGCCTGGTCGCCGTGGCCTCTCGTCGTGATGAGAAATTGACGTTTGTGCCTTCTTTGGGTTCCCCAGCCAGGAGATAAGGCGGCGCTGCGCTGGGGGCGGCCTTTCTTCCCGCGCCCGGCCCGATTGCTCCCGGTGACCCACTTGATGGCTATGGATTTCATGAGGTCTTTTCCAGCATTTGAACTGTAAAAGGTTCAGAATGACACCACCCCTTATAGACAAAAGATAACCTTGCCCTTTGAATGTATCGATTCTTTATTAACTAGGCTGTTTAATGCAATGAAATGAGGCATTAGATTGAAGCCCATTTCAAGTGCTTTGAATAATCTTTAAGAGCCCGAAAGACCTTAAAAGACAGCCCGACAATGATTGGCGTACGTTTCGAGAGAAAATGCGGTTCTTCTGATTTGAAACAGACCGAAGTAAGTTCTCTCTCCCAGGGCCCTGCAAGGCAGCCGCAGGAGCTGGGCGCGCCCGGTGCGAGCTCCGGGTGGCGAGGGGGGGACTCCGCCCAGCCCCGCCCCGGCAGCTTGGAAAGGAGCCTGGGGCTTGGTGCGGCAGTGGGCAGGCTGCAGCCGGGCGCCCCGAGCCTCTGTCCCACTGTCTCTTTAAGGCTGAAGCCAGAATGCAAAAGAACCCGATTTTTCTAGAGGGGAGAAGGCATTCACAAGTCTCTCTGTGTTTTGAATAACTGTTTCCTGTTTTGCTCAGCAAAACAAGTAATTAAGACATTTGTGAGCGCTAATTTAGATCACACTTGTGTGTATGTGTTACAGAGCTGCAAGCCAAAACACGCAGACCCAGCCTCTCGCTGCTGAGCTGAAAAAACTGCGCGAAATGCAAACCGTGAACCCGGCAAGCCGACGGGCAGGCACGGCTCCGTGATCGGCGGGCGCGTCTGGCCACACCCGGCAGGTGCAGGCCGCGGGGCTGGTGCTGGTGACACTCGGGTCGGACCTCAGCCAGCACTGGCACCCGAGCGCCCTGGCGTCTGCCCACCCGTGCAGCAGCCCTCCACTCGCCACGCCCTCACTCAGCCGCAGAGGGGCTGGGGCAGCGGGGTGGCCGGCAGAGGGCCGAGGGCAGTGGTATCCCCCACCCCGCCTGGCTCTGCTGCGGCTCGCCTGCCTGTGGACCCAGCAGTGGTGGTGCCTCTGGGGTCTGAGCCACCTCAGGGACCGGCGGCTGCATTTCCCTGAGCAGGTGAGACGGCCACTGGTCACTCTGTGGAATGTTCTCACGAGGACAGAGGAGACACAGCTCTGGAACCCGGCGTGTGCAAATGAAACCCCCGTTGTAGCCTGAGCGTGCTCAGTCAGTCGTTTTAATAATCAAGAGAGAGAAGATGGCCAAAAGTGAAATTCACAGACAAGAAATACTTTAATTAAATATTGTGTAAAATGAACATTTTTATACAGTTAAATATCTGAAAAAATGTACAGATAAAACAATCTTATTGTAGGGTCTTTAACAGTAAAATCTACCATGGAGTGAAGCGCTCGATTCTGAGACAATGAAGCCATGAGGGCATCGACTACTCAATCTACAACACAAACCGAGTGCGGGGATGAAGAAACGGCAAACGCTCCGAACGTGGACACGTGCGCTCTTCTGCAGAGCAAACCCTTGCGTACACAAAATAAAACGGAGGCGATTTAGTTCCAAAGTGACTTCTCAGGCTTCTCCTGGGGCTGCACGCGCAGCGTCCCGGAGCCAGGCTGGGAGCTGCCGGGCGCTGGGGACTCGGGGTTTGCGTGTTCTGTTGAGTCCCTTGAATGGATCCTTTCCCGAGTTGTGCATGGTTACTTTTGTCCAGAAAGTTTGTAAAAGTCCCTCCTTTTTGTTTTCAATTTGATTTCTGCTGTGGTTTGCAAAATGCTTACTGTGCTGTCTGCAAAGCATTGAGTGCAGTGGACAACAACTGACCCCTTGGGTCTCACTGCGGGTTTGGCACTGACAGGCACGATATCTGGGCGAGGTCATTCCAGTTTGAAAAGTACAGACGGTGCTATCGGATCGGACCACAAAAATGTGTCATTAAAAACTTAAAAACCAGCACGGACTCGGGCTCCCGGGAGACCTCGCTGGAGGAGCCTGGGAAGGTGCGGGAGGCAGCAGGAGGGACCAGACAGGAGCGACACCGGAACAGCAGGTTTGTGCTTTTGCTTGTGTGTGGGTTGAGTGTGGGTGTGTGGGTGTGTTTACACCATAAATCTCCAAAGAAACACCGGCTGACAATCGTGGCATCAGCCCGTGAAAAAACAGCACAAAGGTTTTTTTTTTTTTTTTCCAAAGAAGTCCACTTTTAAGGCATCAGAGAAGTTAATGTGGCAAACGTTTTAATTAAAACATCAGAAGTAAATTTTATTTTAAACTTTAGGCCTCTGAATTTTCCAGTAAACACAGTTCAGCTATGTATGTGGCAAAGTCATGGGTGGCAGCTAAAATGACTTTTTACATTCTACAAAAAATAAAAAGGACACAGCCCCAGACGGAGTCGCCGCCTCACGGCCGCTCCACATGCACACGGTCCACGAGGGTTTGTCACAGCCGGGGCACCGCTTCGTTGACTACACAGCAAACTCTTTTTTTTTTTTTCAAAAGTATTTGTTCAGATAACTTAAAAATAATATAAAAATAAACAATGAATTTGACTTTTCCTCAAAATAAAAAATAAAGGATGGAAAGGCTAACCACTAGCAAACGCTGCAGGTACAGATGAAAGGGCAGGATGTGGCTCACTTGAACGAAACAGCTCGGAGGGACGACTCGGCTAACACTCTTGCAGACCATCACAACACCAGGACGTGATCAAAAATCAATACCGACGAGAAAAGGAACCGGCAGGAAAAGCAATGTACAAAATTTCAAAGATAAATACAATATTTATAATTGATATGTTACAAAATAAAGTCCCTTAGCAACTGCAAGTATTCATGGGAAACAAAGGGTTGAATGAAGGCCGTCTTATCCCTTATAAGACACATAAGGAATAAAACTTGTTTTTTCTAAATATTTAAGTGGATCTGAAAAAAATTCAAGACAAGTGTATAAATATTTAGCTACAACTTTGGCAAAATCACAAAAGTCTACAATTTTATAACCACATACAAAACACATTAGGGAAGAGGGATCTAGAAGTCAAAAGGACAATTTCTGGTACAAGAAACATAGACCTCACAGTAGCCTAAGAATGCAATAGTATACAGTGCTAGCAAAAGTGGAAAAAATGTTGCAGATCAAACTTGCTTACCAGGAAGCTCTAGCAGTGAGAATTGGAACCAACAGACAGTAGCATTTTTTTTCTCTGTCAGTGTGCTTGTTGAAGGCAAGAGAATTCAATATCAAAGTTACAATTTCTAACTACAATAAGTTACAAAGTTTCGTCTCATGAAGATGAAGGTAAGCAATGATAAACCCTCCCCACTCCCGCCACCCCCGCTTCTAATCATAGTCATCCTCTTGTTCCAGGCTGATGGCTCATACCTCCTTGGCCCCCTTTGTATCACCACAAAAAAATATTTCACATTATAGAGATACACAACCATTGTGAATCTAAGTATGAGTACAGAAAAATGTCCGGAGGCATTTTTCCTCAGTGTTTCATGATCATCAAAATGGTGCATTCACGAAGATTCTCCCAACACAGATAGCAAGTACTAGACAGAGCCAAGACGGGGTCAGAAACTTTATACAAAATAGGCGTTGCTTTGTTCTCCTCATTCTCCAGGACTGAGAAATGTGAAAATATGAGAAAAGTTCAGTCAATAAAATGGAATTGTTCATGAAGAAGTAGGTTGTTTGCATGTTGATTCTTAATAGTTTAAATAAAATCTTTAAGCAAAGTCTCTCGTAGCGTCTCGACTGCTGCTGCTGTTCTCGAAGATCCGTTTTGCGCCAGCACCTCCCCCATATGCTAAGCGTGTCCCCTGAAGTCCGTCCCCTGACGCTGGGCGCTGCCGGAAGGAAACGCGTCCCTCACATGGGCGGGACTACCAGCCCAGACATAGCTGCAAGAGAGGAGGGAAGAGCAGTTACCGCCGGCGAGCCCAGCCCACGCGCGGCTCCGCACCAGCCTCCGATAACCCGCCTGGGGCATGGGAAACCTACTTGGTGGGACGGAAGCCCCCGCGGCCCCTCTCCCCGCAGCCCTCCTGGGCAGCGGCCCCGGCCCCTGACCGTTTCCTGCGGGAACAGGCTGCTGCTCCCCACACACTGGACACTGGCCCGGTCACTCCTGGGACCAGCCGAGGCTGGCTCCCGGGCTTGCTGGCTCCCTAGGGGACAGCCGGACCGGCCCCGGCATCCCCTCTGCCTTCACCTTCAGCTAACGGTTCCGAGTTGTAACGGTGAGTCGGGGGCCCGCCTGCGCTGGACACACAGCGAGAGGGCGGGCTCCGTGCTGCGATGCCGCCAAGTGTGCAGTCGAGGCTCTCGCGTGAACTGGTACGGATGTCACCGAGGATCTTTTAACCCTACTGTTGTTTAATTTTTGTCAGAATGATGGCTCTCATTAATTTATGCATAACATATTAATACATTTGTTCATGTAGTGATGTGAGCTTCAATTTCTCAGTTCATTAATTTCAACAATATTAATTTATCTCCGACTCACCGTTACAACTTTTATGGTGCGGAAGACCTGTGTGTGTACACACTGCCGCTGTGGCACCGGCTCTCGGCTGCCCGCGACACCGCGTGCGTGGGCAGTGGGCGGGGCCCAGGCGCCTCACCGCCTGCCTGCTGAGCCGGCGGCCCGGCTCGGTGGCAGCACCTGGGGGCCTGGGCGTCCCTCTGACACTAACGCATGTGAAGACAATGATTTCAAGTCACTGATACCTTTCCAGTTCCTTTTTTGAGCATTAGTTCATCAAAGTGAAATATGGCACCAACTTCACAAAAGGGCCAGTTTGTCTTCTCCACGGCTACGTCCTCGGCACCCAGCAGAGAGCCTGGCACACAGTAGGCGCTCAATAAATACTGATGGAATGGATTCATTTTTTAAAGGAGAAACTGGATTTGACTTTCACCGGGAGGAGCATATACCAAAGGTGGTGTCTGAAAGAGGCCAGACAACGGCCACTTAATGCGAGTGCCTGTGGTCCCGTGCACCAGGAAGCCACGTGCCAGCTCGCGAGGCCTCAGGGCAGCCACGTGGCTTCGCGTGGCACACACGTCACGGGCCACTCGCAGCCTGCACTGCCCAGAGGGGCTGGGTGCCCAACACACGTGGCCCCTTCCACGCAGAACTGTGTCCAGATGGGGCCTCCCACGCCCTGGGGGCCGGCCCCTGTCCCTCCTGCGTCTTCAAAGGAGAATCGTTTAGCAAAACGGACTCCCAGCCACAGACGGGGCTGCAGCCTGCGATGGCACACGCAGCCCCCTAGGTCTGGACGCCCGGCCCCTCTCCTGGACTCGCGGTCAGGCTGCGTTGAGGACCAAGGCTCAGCCTTGTGACCGCGAGAGGGGGCCCCGCCGCAGCACGGCAACCCAGCGTGCCCCTTCTGAGACCGCCTTAGAGTAAGGAGAGCCACACGTGGGCTGCGCCCCGAGAACGGCTGGCCTGAGCAAAGGCCCGGCTGTGACCGCCACGCTCCCGTCTGCCCCCGTGAGGACGCCAGGACCAGCAGGCGGAGCCCGGCACCAGTCGGGGCCCAGCGCGCACACGGCCTTTCCAACCCTGGCGGCCTGGGGTCCGAAGGGCAGCATGCAAAGCCGCGGGCGGCGTGAGGCGTCTGGGGAGGCGCCCGGGGGGGGGCCGAGCTCCCGCCCGCCGCCCGCCCTCACCTTGCAGTCCGTTCCCGTTGGCGCTGGTGCAGGACGGGGGAGGAGAGGCTTGGGGCCGGACCACGGGCGCGAAGGCGCTCTTCTGTTTCACTGCGGAGATGACATTGGCAGGTGAGAATGAGAAAATGCCGTGTGTGCCGCTACAGTTTGAAGGGAGGGTGGCCGAAGAGGCTGCCATGGTGGGGCTGGACGGCACTACTGCAACAAAGCAAACACGGTCAGGACGCGGCCGTGGCGCGGCACCACGGGACGGCACGCAGGCCCGCCACAAGACACAACACCACATGCTTCCGGCGTGGCCACTCTGGATAACAGGCAAGTGCTTTCGTGTCGGAGTCTCTCCCGACGGAGCGGCCCCCGTGGGGTCCCGACTCCCGCGTTTTGGGTCAATCCGCGGTCACCACTAGGACGCCCAGCCTCTGGGGCCACCCTTCCTTTTACCCAGTAGCTCACAGCACAGAACATCCAAGCAATGCACACACTCGACTTGGTAGTGAATATGAAGCTGCGTGATGATGTGTGACAAAAACAGACACTTACTGCCGTAGGGAGAGTTAGCGGAGGAGCCATTAAGAAATCCAGGCGAGCCCGGGACCCCTAGATTGGCCATGGCACCACTTCCATATCCGTTCATGCTAGTGCTGACTGTGTTGTAATTGGACTGCTGGGGAGTACTGCTGGGGACGTATCCTCGCGGGGACACGCTGCTTGTATTGCGACTGTAGCCGACTGTTGAAATCCCCCCCGGCCAAAAATAACGTTATTATCAGTGACAGACACCTGGGGGTGGGGGTGGGGCTTCCCCAAGAATCTGTATCATATACTCAACATTTCTGCTTGCCCTCTGCTCTCCCCTTAGCCAGCTCGGAGAACCTCGTCACGCCAGCCCCGCTCCGGCTGTCGGCTTCGACAGCGGCCCGAGCGCGCTTCGATCGAAGCGCCAGCCGCCTCCACGGCTCTCCTTAGACGCAATTACCAGCAGCCCGGGCCCGCGCTGCCCCCACGCGCCGTGAACTTTCAGCCTCGCAGACCTTCAAATGCCAGGGCTGACAGGGGCAGCTTGTTTGTGGCCCAACTCCCCACGTCTCCACCAGTGCTCCTTCTAGGAGTGGAGGTGGGGCGGGGAGGCGGGGTCTCCCCAGATGGTTGGCTGCCTGCGTGGGTCTTAAAGGGGAAATGGTCTCAAGTCGCCGGCTTAAGCCACGGGGTGCGGTGACCTCAGTGGGCCGGGTCACCGTCCCACAGAAGCTGCAGGGCAGGGAAGGCAGAGACACCCCCCTCCCAGGGACTCGTCCCAGACTCAGCCCCCAAAGCCCTCCACACAGCGTTTGCGAGGAGACTCCCGCTGGCTCCCTGCATCACAGCTATCCCACGGCCTAGCCCGGTCTTTGGAGGGAAGCGACTTCTGAGTCAACAAGGAGGCTAAGGAACTAAGGGAGCTGCCACCGCACGACCCGGCCACTGCCGGCCAGCGCTGGCAGGGAGAGGGGCCCACTGCGGGCATCCCCACCGGGCTCCCGGCACGCTCAGCTGCCAGAGCTGGG